ATGATTACTTTGTAGTTACTACTACTACTACTACTACCTCTGTTGCTGCTGCTACGATTACTTTGTGGCTACTACTACTATTACCTCTGCTGCTGTTGCTGTTGCTGCTGCTACTGCTACAAATACTTTGTGACTACTACTATTACTACTACTACTACTACATCTGCTGCTGTTGCTGCTGCTACTGCTACTTTGTGGCTACCACTACTACTACTACTACTATTAATGTAACAACTTTTCATTATTACTCTTTACTGGCTGTCACCGTTACTACTATTACTACTACTTCTTCTGATACTATTTCTATTTGCCGTACTACTAATATGACTATGACTAATATAAATGTATGTATATGTATACATATATAAATATAAATATATATATATATACATATAGAGAGAGAGAGAGAGAGAGAGAAAGATGCATGTATGAAACCGGATGTCCTTATATTTAAATGTTACTACGAATAGGTAGATACTTGGTTGATAATGATGGGATGCTGATGATGATGACGATGCTGATGGTGATGATAATGATGATGAAGATGGTGAAGATGATGATGAGGAAAAGCTGACAATAGGTATCAATCCTTAAGGGCAATTATTTTATCCAAATTAAGAAGCTCCCCCTCATATATAAATATACATATGTACAAACATACATACAAACATTCCTACATTCCTACATACATACATACATACATACATACATACATACATACATACATACATACATACATACATACATACATACATACATACATACATACATACATACATACATACATACATACATACATACATACATACATACATACATACATACATACATACAAACAAACAAACATACATACATACATACATACATTGATACAAAAAATATCTTTTAGATAGATTGAAAAATTGACTTTGAAAAAATAATTCTCTTCAATATTTTATAATTAATTGTACTAAATAGATAAAAAAAATATATAATTAATTATATATACAGTTAACCTAATAATTAATATTTTCAGTCCAATCTTTTAAATTATTCGCAATTATCCGACCGAATGTATCGAATTATATTACCGACCACGACAACTACAATGAGTCCATCTCTCGCCTCCTTCAACATCATCTGTCCAACCGGCTTAATAGACGAACTCAATTTTACCGGCGATCCGCACATCCCTATTTTTGTCCCCAACAGCAACAACAACAATAATAATATTAACAACATCAACAACATTAATAATAGTTATAACCTCAATAACAACAACAACGTGTCAACAATTTATTATTTTTTAGATGATCAACTCCAGGCTAAGTTAGGGACTGTAGAGCAATGGCAGGTGTATGCAATTTTTGTAGCTTTAGCTTTTTTCGCTTTCGTCGTCGCGAGGATCTCGAAAAAAATCCTCTACCTCCTTCACAGCGAACAGGTTTTTGTCATGTAGCTTATGAACTTCTATTTAATTTCATATTGAAAGCTTTACTAATGCTGACACAGGCGTATGTACGTTGTGTATCTTTGTATGTATATCTTTTGATGTGTGTCACAGCTGATGACGTCAGCATAAACAAAACATTCACATCATCATCTTCATCATCGCTGTTGTCGTCATCACCACAGCCGGAAGACAGTCTAGACACGGATTTCGATGCTGGGAGAGAATCAACTTCCGGTGTAATAAGCTCCACCCTGGTCTCCTATTGGACATGGGCGGCTACTCTTCTACAGTCTACCACTGTTACCGTTATGGTTAAGTGTTTCGTCTGTCTGTCTGTTTGTCTGTCTTTCTGTCTGTGTAATGTGTGTACGTCTGTGTGTCTGTATTGGTGTGTCTCTTTCTATTTCTGTCTATGTCTGAGTATGTGTGTGTTTGTCTGTCTGCCTATTGAATAGTTTTACACGTGTTTGGTTGTTTTCGATTGATCTTAATCATAATCGTCGTCGTCACCGTCATCATCACGATCTTTCAAATCATCATCATCTTTCTCATCTTCACCATCACGGTCTTTCAAATCATCATCATCTTCCTCATCTTCACCATCACGGTCTTTCAAATCATCATCATCTTCCTCATCTTCACCATCACGGTCTTTCAAATCATCATCATCTTCCTCATCTTCACCATCACGGTCTTTCAAATCATCATCATCTTCCTCATCTTCACCATCACGGTCTTTCAAATCATCATCATCTTCCTCATCTTCATCAGCTCCCCATTCTACACCTTTGTTATTTAATCTCAATAATATCCTTCAGATGTCAATTTTTAAACAATCACACACAAATAATATACATATACACGACCTCACACACACACGTACAAACACATACACGCACACACGTTCAAACACGTACACAGAAATACAAATAAATACATGCACGTGTGCTTATAATTCTACATCTTTTAATCAGCCTAAAAAACTTGAATAGCTATTTTTCAGTTTTCTTTTGCTTTGCTTCTCTCTTCACCCTTTCTTTCTTCCTCTTTCTCTCTTTTTTTCTCTCTGTTTGCCTTTCTTTTTTTGTATTTCTAAAATGATGATGGTGATATTAATATTATATTATTATAATTATTTTCCTCTCTCTCTCTTTCTCTCTCTCTCTCTTTCTTTCTTTCTCTCTCTCTCTCTCTTAAATTATTATTATTATTACTAATTTTAGTACGGGATAAGCGGGGCATACTGGTACGCCGCAGGTGCCACCATACAAATCCTCCTCTTCAGCATCATCATCGTGATGTTGAAGGTCAAGGCCCCCGGAGCTAAAACCTACCTCCAAGTCATCAGGGCCCGGTTTGATAGGGCCACCCACTTAACCTTCTGCGTCTTTGCACTCGTCACAAATTTTGTCGTTACCGCAATGCTTATGCTGGGTTAGCTACAGTGTCATGAATGTGTGTGTGTGCGTGTGCGTGCGTGCGTGTGTGTGCGTGTGTCCGTTTGTGCGTGAATGTACGTTCGTAGAGTGACCTTTAATCTTTGACCTAACCACAGGAGGTGCCACTGTCCTGACGAACATGATAAAGGGCCTGTCCATAGAGATGGGGACGCTACTGGTGGTCGGGACCATCTTCATCTACACCTTCACTGGCGGTCTCAGTGCCACCATGTATGTCTCGTACTTCAACACGGCCGTCATGCTGCTACTGGTTTTAGTGTTTTTGTATAAGGTTTTTTATGCCGCACAGACTGGTGGCCACGGAAGCGGCGTTGGTGGCGACACTAATGGAGGGGGTATGTTAGGTCAGTCTGACTCTCTTGCTATTAATATTATTATTATTGTTATTATTTTTTTTTTTATCAATTTTTGAAGGATTTTTAGAAGTGTCAACATCATACACACGGCATGTTGTAGGCGAGGATTTCTTAACATTCAAACAAGTTCATTGCAGCAGTTTCAAGTGCCTCAACCCACACGCCATGTTCATATTTCAATTTTCAATATAAAGTTTTTAAACTTTATTCATATTCATTGATTTTTGAAGCAGCCAGTCCCTCACCATCAACCAATCACAAATCAGCCAATCACTCACCATTGACCAATCCCAAAACAGGATCAATAGACTCCGTATATGATACGTTGATATGTTTCAAAGTGAACCAGGCAGGCAACATGGCCGATAGCCATTTGACGATGTATTCAGCGAGGGGATTGATATTCGGCATCATCAATATTGTTGGTTCGTCATTTCATTCAAATGTCATTTATTCATCCACATATCAATCCATTCTTCCATTATTCTATCCATTTACCCATCCATCCCTCCATTCATCCATCCATCCATCCTTCCACCCATCCATCCATCCATCCATTCATTTGTTAATTCCAACAACATGGCGACACAAACCAGGAAACTTTGGCGCCGTTTTTGTCGACCAATCGTATTGGCAGTGTGGGGTGGCGGCTAAACCCTTTTCAGCAGTAGCTGGCTTCTTATTAGGTGGCCTCACCTGGTTCACCATTCCTCTAACCTTCGGGACTACCATGGGCCTGGCTTATAGGGCCATCCAGGTCCTGGATCGAAACGTCACGACGATGTGGAGAGGACTTGATGATGATTCGGTGAAGAAAGGTTTGTGGGCTGAAAAAAAATTATAAATTTTTAAACTAGGTACAGACATTTTAATTAAAAACTCCCAAATCATTTATTAATGAATATCTCTTAATTGAAGTTATGTGCTAATTAATATTCATGAGCCGCATAAACCACGCCCACAAAGGATTGGTGGCCCCGTACGTAGCCAATAGACTGATGGGAACGAGTGGTAATCTCATGTGCGTCATATTGGTGGTCATGGCGATTACTTCGACTGGGGCTTCCCAGATCATAGCCGTGACGTCAGTGCTCGTTTATGACGTGTACCAATTGTATTTGAAGGTCGGGGGGGCTTGGGTGATTTTATTGAATTTTGTTTGATCGGCGAATGATTTGAATGTGTAAAATTTTCTAAGTGTTCAACCGATCAGAGAATTAGTTTAATTTAAAAGTGAAATCAATAAATTAATTAATTAATATTTAAAAGATTTTGTGAAAAATTATTCAAAATTTAAAAAAAAAACTTGTTCATAAGCCCTTCAGATCTGTTTTAGACTGCAACACTTGTTTGTTATGCGGCTGCGAAAAGGGTAAGTTTTATTCGTTTATTTTTACATTCACTCATTCATCCATCCACTCATTCACTCATTCATCCAACCATTCACTCATTCACTCAATCATTCACTCATTCATTTACCTAATTCACTCATTCACTCAATCATTCACTCATTCATTCACCTAATTCAACTCAATCTTATTATAAACTTTATAACTATACACTAATGTAAATAGCTCCCATCGTTATCGTCATCATTTTAGCTACGTTCTATTACTTATTATTATTCATAATTATTATTATAACTATTATAATTTATTATTATTACTATTGTTTTTTATTATTATAATTTTTTTTTAATTTATAAAACAGGTCGGAAAGCTAACGCCAGATCCAAAAACGTTTGCAAGTGCATGAGTATGGCCAGCTGCAAACAATGCACCCAAGATAACAAGTTAATTGGTTTTAATTAATTAATTAATTAATTCATTCATTCATTCATTCATTCATTCATTTATTCACTCATCCATTCATTCATTCATTCATGTATTCATCCATTTATTTACATTATATGATCAGCAAGACGCCTGGCAAAGAGGTCTCCCAACTCACTGCTCATATCATCAATAACCGATAAATAAATTAAAAAACTAATTATAATGGTTATAATTATAATTATTTATTTATTCGTAAAATTAGTCCTGGTTATGACATTAAACTGACCCTCACTGCCTTGTGAGTGATGTTGGATCATCAAAGGCTAGGCCCACCGCTTATGACTGTGGTTGCGTAAGGAAGGGCGTCCTGCGTAAAAATTAGCCAAATTAATTACTTATGATGGAATGGCGTCGAGAGGTATTTTGGTTTCATCATAGGTAGCCAAACGGCAACCCCCGATCTCGGGGAAAATGTCGTCTAAACGTGTGTTGTTGTTGTTGTTGTTGTTGTTGTTGTTGTTGTTGTCGTAATAAATAAAATGAATGAAATAATAATTTCAAAGGGTCAGATCATTGGAAGGAAAACGCAAGCCAGTAAAGACATCATTTGCGTGTTCCAGCCACTCACAGTACCGAATCTACATCGAGTACGTCCAGAGACTGAAGAGCTGGTGTCAGGTTATATTCACCATCGCCATCCTACCACTGACCATCGTAATGTACTATTTATCGGTCGGTTGATTGGTTGGTTGGTTGGTTGGTTGGTTGTTTGGTTGGTTGTTTGGCTGGTTGGTTGGTTGGTTGGTTGGTTGGTTGGTTGGTTGGTTGGTTGGTTGGCTGGTTGGTTGGTTGGTTGGTTAGTTGGTTAGTCGGGTGGTTGGCATACATATATAAACACACAAATATACTATCTTTCTTTCTCTCTCTCTCTTTCTCTCTTTCTCTCCCTTTCTCTCTTTCTCTCTCTCTCTCTTTTTCACACACACACCTAAACATACTCACACACACGCAACAAAACATTGCATCGTATATATCAATAACAGGCGGGAAACTCCCTTTCCATTTGAACCTGTGTTAACCGCCAGGCAGTACCAAAAATTATTCCATCATAATTAAACAAATTATGATCACATATTATTATTATTATTTTTTTTATTGTTAATATACCCAGGTCAGTTTAAATTGGGTATATTCATTCATGGGCATTCTGATTGGTTCAGCCGTTCCTCCAATCATATTGTCCCTAACCTGGTCGAGATTGACCGGAAGAGGAATGAGTTTTGGAGTCGTCGGTGGTACAAGCTGCGGATTAGTCGTCTGGTTGATGTATGCGGGTCTAAAAAATGGCGGGCTTTCGGATTTTTTCGAAAGTACAGGTCTGGCATAAAGTTTTGTCATTTATTTTAAAAAGTTACAGCTGTAGTGATAACATTGGATGTTTTTAAAGGTGAAGAAACGAGCATGTTGGCAGGCAACCTGGCCTCGATAATATCTGGGGCGGTCATCACCGTCGTAACCAGCGTGGTCCTAAATAGGTCAAACAATGATGAGAAGAACAGGGAGACGTGGGAGATGACCAGGGATATCGATAACCCTCTTAGGCCCTGGACAGAACTTTATTCAAAGTTTGTGGTGTGTGCCTCAGTGGGGTGTTAGCTGTCCGTTTGTTCGTTCGATCGAGGGTTATTTCGTTCATTCATTCATTTGTTCATTTATTTGTTCATTCATTCATTCATTCATTCGGTTGTTCATTTATTCATTTTTTCATTAATTCATTCATTTATTCATTCATTCCTTCATTGAAATAGTTTATCTATTTTCTATCTATCAAATCATCAGTTATAAAACATGTTATCGAAAATAGGAATTACCAGTAGTATAATTATAAAATACATTCATAATGTAAAAAACCAAAAACAGGGAACTAAATTTAGCTCCGACCGAGCAATTAGATTCGAGACCATCTCTAGAAGCGATGGAATCAAAATACCGACGGGCCAAGCACTTGGCGATTATTTTTTCCGCCATATTCACTATTTTGTTAGTGTTAGTCTGGCCGGCACTCATGCTAATCAGTGAAGTCATGGATAGAAAGAGTTTCACACTTTGGGTTAATTTTTTTAATGATTTTACATTTTTTTAATTTTTTGATTAACGCTAATAGACAATCAATTTGATATAAACCGTAAAAATATGTTTGATTTTTTCAAAACACACACACACGTACATACATACAAACAAACATACAGGCACATACACACATATTAGGTACACATACACACACATAGGCACACATACACACAGATCCATATGATAACAGTCATATCAGTGGTGGCCACAGTCTACATAATCATCTGGCCGCCGATATCTGAATTTATTCGAATCAAAACAACTCTTAGAAATAAGAACCGTATCGCTAACGCTATACCGGATCAACATAGAGACGACATACCGACTAGACCGAATAATCATTTCGATACGACGGTACACCATTTCGATACATGGGAACCCCGTTTCGGCAAAACTGAACATTTTGATAATGATGAAATTGCTTTTAGCAAAAATAGCCAGGTGAAAGTTGATAAAATTGATGATGTTACAGAGATTAGCGTTGTAAAAATTAGTGAAAATGATACAAATACCAGCCCATTTGCAAGAAAATTATCTGAAAAAGATGAAATCGAATGCAAAATTACAACAGAATCAGGGTTAAATATAGAAGCGGGCGATCCAAATGTTTTTAAATTTGATAATGAAAAGATGAAATTTGTTACAAAAATGGTTGATGATAGCAATGCTGAAAACTTCAATCAATCAAGCACTCAATCAACTAATTAATCAATAAACTAATAAACTGATTATCTTACATATTACTCTTTAACTGGCGATTTTTCTATTTTAAACGTAATAATTTCAAACTATAGTAGTTACAGTCGCTTCCATTTGCAATCTTTGATCACTGATAGAGTTTTTTCAAGCACAAATTTTTATTTCTTATTGAATTATTGTAGTTAATAATCTTGATTTAGTACAAAAATGATTCACTTTTAATGAGAAAAATGCCCTTTTTCATCGAAATGCTTATAAAATGTAAATTTTTTGGCAATTTTAAGAGGTGTTATATGTCAATCATACTATCAAGCCAATCATACTATTATATGTTATATACCTATATATATTTTATTCTAGTTATATGTATCAAACAGTATCTCATTGAACAAAGTAGTATCATAAAATGAATAAAGATACTTTTTTCAAAAATTTAAAAAATTCTCAATTTGATTTAATTGCGATATCGATGATGATGATGGTTGTGACCTGACTAATTAAAAAACATCAAATAAATTTGTAAAATAGGATGGGTATATCGTTGCAAAATCGTTGGAGGAAATGACGTCATGTTAACAGTAGTTATTTTACTGCATGGTAGTTAATCAGCCGGTAGGAAGGTTATATTCAATTCCTATAAAATAAATTTGACCAAATATCATATGCAGGCAAAACTAAATAAAGAAATAGATAGAAAGATATACATATATATACGTAGTTATAATACATTTACACATTCAAATTGTAATTCAAAATGTATTACAAATTCTACAGTTGTGTTATGGTGTAGTCTCAAATTATTTTGAATTCTCTCAGAAAAATTTAAACTTTTTACTATATACTAGTTACTTTTATTAACAATTTTAAAAAAAATTTCAATTTGATTTCATCGCCATATTGATAATGATTTTTGTGACCTAACTGCTTAAAAAGCATCAATAAAAATTTCAAAAAAAGGATGGAGAAATTGTTATATTGGAATATTCGTATATGAAGCGAGCAAAATTTTAATATAAAAGCGATTATAAATCTATGCATATCGGCTCAGCTTGGCTTGGCTCGGCATGGAATTGGATGTTAAGCAAGGTGTGGTCTCAAACTATTTGGAATTCTCCCAGAAAAGTTTGAACTGCGTGCGTACATATGTAGCACTGATTACTGTTGCTTTTATAATGAATTTATATTATACATATATGAAGCGAGCAAAATTTTAATATAAAAGCGTTCATAAATCTACGCATATCGGCTCAGCTCGGCTTGGCTCGGCATGGAATTGGATTTTAAGCAAGGTGTGGTCTCAAACTATTTGGAATTCTCCCAGAAGAGTTTGAACTGCGTGCGTACATATGTAGCACTGATTACTGTTGCTTTTATAATGAATTTATATTATATATATATGAAGTGAGCAAAATTTTAATATAAAAGCGTTCATAAATCTACGCATGTTGGCTCAGCTTGGCTTGGCTCGGCTTGGAATTGGATGTTAAGCAAGGTGTGGTCTCAAGATATTTGGAGTTCTCCCAGAAAAATTTGAACTGCGTGCGTACATATGTAGCACTAACTACTGTTGCTTTTATAATGAATTTATATAATATATATGTATATATATTTTTTATATATAGTGACTAGAATCCATGTATACAAATAATTAATAGGATTATATGTTTATATAAAAACAATATAGCAGATTCAACCAGCCAATCAGAAAGTTTCGAAGGCGTTCGTTCGATGACGTCAATTTAGCACGGTTAGCATTGTGGTTAAGATTGCTTAATAGTCTAGTACATTAAATAAGTTTTTTACTGATGTGAATGATTGAAATGATGAGAATGTATGGTTGAAACGAGTATAAATAGGAGCTGAGAAAACATGAAAATCAGATCAGGCATTCTGCCTCGCTTGAAGCAGTCTGTCTGATCTCATTTATTTTATTTTTATATTATTTTTTATTTATTTTATTATATAGAGTTATATAGAGTTTGCATGTCTGTGGTTTGTGTGTTTGTATTTTGCATTTTTTTTATATTTTAGGTGGGTTCTTTAGCGGTTGCTCATACATACATACATACATCATGTTTGTTTGTGTGGTAGTATTTTATGTTCTGTTTTACTCTTTTTTCTCTTTCTTCATGAGTCTTGAGTTAAGTTAATTAAACATAGGTAGGTGAGATTGAGATTAATTTATTATATAGGTAGGCTAGAGCATAAGGTAATTTAGTTACATAGGTAGGTTAGGGACTTCTATTCTTTTTTTCTACTTGGTGGTGTGTTTTATGTTTTGTGATTTTTTTGTTTTGTTTCACAACATACATTCAACAGGTACGCGGTGGTTCCTGGTTTTTGTGGGATTTTTTATTGATTGAATGTGGTAGTATGCATGGTTATATAGAGTTATATAGAGTTATATAGAGTTATATAGAGTTATATAGAGTTATATAGAGTTATATAGAGTTATATAGAGTTATATAGAGTTATATAGAGTTATATAGAGTTATATAGAGTTATATAGAGTTATATAGAGTTATATAGAGTTATATAGAGTTATATAGAGTTATATAGAGTTATATAGAGTTATATAGAGTTATATAGAGTTATATAGAGTTATATAGAGTTATATAGAGTTATATAGAGTTATATAGAGTTATATAGAGTTATATAGAGTTATATAGAGTTATATAGAGTTATATAGAGTTATATAGAGTTATATAGAGTTATATAGAGTTATATAGAGTTATATAGAGTTATATAGAGTTATATAGAGTTATATAGAGTTATATAGAGTTATATAGAGTTATATAGAGTTATATAGAGTTATATAGAGTTATATAGAGTTATATAGAGTTATATAGAGTTATATAGAGTTATATAGAGTTATATAGAGTTATATAGAGTTATATAGAGTTATATAGAGTTATATAGAGTTATATAGAGTTATATAGAGTTATATAGAGTTATATAGAGTTATATAGAGTTATATAGAGCATAAATCCTATATAGATACCTTTCTTTGAGGTTCTTTCTTTGCCGACCGGTCGGCTTCTTTGCGTTTCTCTATTTTCATTTTAATTAATTAAATAAATAAGATTTTCCATTTATTTAGGTTCAATCAGGTTCATTCATTTAGGTTGAAACTTCCAGAGGAGTTCATCATGGAGGATCCGAATGGTTGTGATGTCACGCTACGTTCGTTCATTCAGTGGCAAAGAATGCACGCCTGGCTGGGGTTAGTTTTAAGGTTTCTTTACGGTTCCTCTTTTTGCCAGTTGGCTGGCTTTTCCTGCTGGCGGGTTTCACCGCGGCTCGTTTGTCTATTTTCATTTTATTCATTTCATTCAGGTTGAAGCTTCAAGAGGAGTTCATCTTGGAAGATGTCAGGCTACGTTCGTTCATTCAGTGGCAAAGAATACACGTTTGGCTGGGATACGTTTTATTCTTTTTTTCTGTTTTTCTCTGTAATTTAACATTAAGTAAGAATGCTCACACGCACACACACACACACACACAATTACATTAAGTAGCTATATAGGTAAGTTAGATAGGCATAATTTTAACTGTAGGTAGGATAGAAAGGAAGCATCCAACACTAATGTAGCTGAATAGGTAGGCGCGTAAGTTTATCGCTTTTATTTTTTCTTGCACCCACATTACACGCATCAGCGTATTACACACACACACAAGTACATACATAAACACATATGTTAGTATTTGAGAGTAATTTTATTTTCATTACACATTCTAATTTATTATTACTAAGGTTGAGAGTAATTTAATTTCATAGGTAGTTAAGGGCAATAATGTAATTCTAGGAACAATCTTGTAATGCAAATTAAAACGTTGTAAGTGTATCGATAGGTAGGCTAATATAAGTTTTACATTATCATTATTATGTTGGAGCCCAAGGCATTACGTAGGTGGTGGGGTGGGCGCCGATTGGCTAAATGAATTGGGCTCTTGAGTTTTGTAATTTTAGGTAAGCTAGGACCGTAATGTAATGAATAGGTAGGTTAAGGCTACGTTGTAACACATACTCATTAATAGATTTAGGGTTTAAGTTTTATATTATTATTACTAAGTTGGAGCCCAAGGCATTACGTAGGTGGTGGGGTGGGTGCCGATTGGCTAAATGAATTGGGCTCTTGAGTTTTGTAATTTTAAGTAAGCTAGGGCTTAATTGTAATGAATAGGTAAGTTGAGGGTACGATAGCCGATTGACTCTGGATTTCAAAGTCTCTTGTCAGAGGTAAGCCTTGGTGGCCAGTGGTGAACCGGCAATGGTTTACTATCCGGACGGCAATGGTTTACTATCTGCACGGTAATGATTTACTATGCGGCATGGCCATAGTCTACTACCCGCACGGCTTCCGGACGGCAAATGGTTTACTATCCGCACGGCAATAGTCTACTATCCGCACGGCAATGGTTTACTATCCGGTGCCCTGGCTGTCGGTGAACCTCTGTGCAAGGAGGGAGAATGAAGGGGACCTTTCGACTATCGTACCATTAGCAATTTAATGTTGATTAGTTAAGGTAATTGAATAGGTAGATAGGATTATTTTTATTAAGCAATTTGAGATGCAGGCACCGCTAAGCTTTCTGATGAGAATCTTCTCTTTATCTTTCTCCATCAACACGGGCTGTGTTTCAACAACAACCTCGAGGAGGACTGGCACCATTTTTGGAGGACAACGTAGGAACCGGACCGCATTTAACATTCTGCCTTTGTCGAATGGACGACGGTAAGTTTTTTTACATTTTACTCTCTTTGTTATTTTAAGATATTATTTATTTGCCGATATTTTTATTTTATAATATTTTCTTCTAAGATTCTAACCTTCATTTACTACTACGCTAATAACAAAATTTGTCTACAGATTGATGAGAGGTGGGCAGTGGTGGGAGTCAGCACGTTTCAAATGGTGTTCTCAGGATGGTGGTGTAGGAAGAATCAGCTCGTTGGCTGTTCGACTGACATTCAAAAGTTCGGATGAAATCTTGTGTGCCGACCTGAATGTGGTGGTCGGTGCAATGGAGTACAGTAATGACGATTTTTGAAGTAAGGTTTAGTTTCTTTTTTTTATTTTTCTCATTCGTTCATTTTTTCACTCAATCTTTCAAATTATTCTTCCATTAATTGACGTTAATTCATTCTATTCATTCTTTTAACTAATTATTTAATCATTCAGTTAATCATTTATTCGTTCGTTCCTTTGTTCCTTGATTTACTAATACGCTAATAAAAAAACTTGTCTACAGAATGATGAGAGGTGGGCAGTGGTGGGCGTCAGCACGTTTCAGATGGTGTTCTCATGATGATCGTTCAGATGACAATTCGAAGAAAACAACAACGACGGTTTTTGAATTATGGTTTAGTTTCTTTTTTTTATTTTTCTCATTCAATAATCCATTTTATCACTATCTTTCAAATTTTTCTTCCATTAATTGATTCATTCTATTCATTCATTAAATCATTGATTGATTAATTAATTAGTTAATTCATTTATTCAACCAATCGTTCAATCATTTAGCTAACCATTTGTTCGTTCATTTGTTCCTTGATTTACTACTACGCTAATTAAAAAAAAACTTGTCTACAGAATGATGAGAGGTGGGCAGTGGTGGGCGTCAGCACGTTTCAGATGGTGGTCTCATGATGATCGTTCAGATGACAATTCGAAGAAAATATTAAAGGAAAATTTGTTTTGTCCCATCGTACCATTGAATTGAGATCAATAAGATAAGTTGCCTATTTTTTCCAATGCCTTGTTTTTTATTGTAATGAATTAATTTTTTTTTTCACTTTAGTGTTTTTCAGTATCCGGTCAAATTCATTCCATCGATGCGTATCAGATGATGGTCGGTGCAATGGAGGTTCGTCCGTTGTGAGTGAAGAAGTTTCTGGAGAGTACACGCCCGCACATTTACACACACATCAATACAACACACATACACACATCAATACAACACACACATACACAACATCCATTCATTCGGTGTCGTTGTTGTTATGTTTCTCTTTAAATATCTACTTTCTTTATCGGACTTAATTTAATTCATAGGTAAGTTAGGGATTGAGATGAGTCGAACAATCGTAGGTAGGCTAGGGCTTAACATTAGTTAAAAAGTTTCATGTAAAATAAAAACGCTAAAATATGTTAAATAAAATACCTGAAACATTAAAATTCCTAAAACGTAGAAATACAAATTTGTAGGTAGATGAGTTGAGTTAATGATTAAGTAAGCTAGGGCCCTGAGAGTAATTTAATTGTAGGTAGGTGACTGAATACTATTCTTGCGACTTCTTACTAATTTTTTGTGATGTGTTTGTTTGTTTTCGCTTCACAGCACCACACCAACAAAACACTAATTTTACCTTTTTGAGCAATCTTTTTAATAATGTCTAACGTTGACTGGTTTCTAGTTGTTTTTTTTAATTTGGTTATACAATTTTTGAATATTTCGTGATTTACTTTGTATATATGCATGTATAAATAATTTCGGTTTGGTATGTTGATTTAGTCATTATGATATGCTGTGAACTGTCCGTACTAAATGTTATTGTTATGTTATAATTATTTTTTATTGTTCGATATTTTGTTATATTTGTTTGTTTAAAATACGATTTTTTTTTTAAATTGTCTTTACAATTTTAATTAACCGTCATTTTCATTTTTGAATGAATTCAAATAAAAGCAACCATGGTGTTTTTCTTTCTTTACTAAAATCTCAAATTGTTTGTAAAAAAATTTAAGCTTTCCATAAAAAAGACTAAAAGTTAACTTACAATACGCCAAATTAAGTTTAAACTTTAAATGTCTAGATTAAAATCATTCGAAAATCTCCTAAATTTAACGATATCTGTTTTATTACGTCTCAAGTTTAGTGAACCATGGGGAAACAAAGTGGTCAGTTTGTTTAAAAATGTTATTTGAATGTTTATTGAATTTGAATAAAATTTTTTTGAAAACTTTGGGTTATTTTTCCCTGAGATAGATTACTATTATATAATTATAATAGTATTATAGAAGACTATACTATAGAGATAAAACATAAAATTATAGATAAATATTAATAATTTCAAAATAAAATACAAAAATAATTAATTTGATATTATTTCAATATTTTATATTAATTATTTTATTCACTCCATGTTTTATTAAATGATAATTCAATAATGTCAGTACGGATTTCGTTTTTAAAAATTAAAATAATTATAATAATAAAATAACAAAACTATAAATGACAGATGAGACTTCAACTGTTATATTAAGGAAAGAAGTAAAATTATTGGAGAACCCTTTAAGTTGCCTATCTGCTGACAAAGATGTTAGGCATCTAGTTGTTGGAGGAAGAAACAGTAATTTTAATTTTATTATTATTATTCTTATTGTCATTCACATTCATATTTATCTAATATTATTTTATAATAAAAGTTATTATTTTTATTATGCTATTGCTATTATGCTAATCTGATGCATCCTACCTACCTATCTATCTTATCAACCTTTATTTGATGGAAGATTTCAAAATAACACTGCCAAAAATATTATTGTAAATATAAATTAATTGCAATAGTAAAAATTAATTACAATAGTAATTAAAATTATAATAATTATAGTTTTCAAGATTTTCAACTGCCAAACTCAAGAATTTGAGGAAGTGGCAAATTTAAGAAGTGGCACTTCGTCTAGCAATCAGTCGCTTGGTGTTAATGACGTCAACTGGTGCAAAACTGATGGTTAGGATGATGGTGAAAACGTGGATGATTAGGATGGTGTTTCAATAATTTATGTTAATTTATTAATTTATACAAATTTTTTTTGGCTACAGAGAAATTGCTTGTCTCTGCCTCTAATAATGGGGCAGTGGTCGTCTGGGATATCAGCAACAATGGCCAGGCTCTTCAAGGTCATTTTTTTTTAATTAATTAGGCTGTTTAATGTTAATTAGTTAGGCCGTTTTATGTTAATTAGTTAGGCAGTTTAATGTTAATTAGTCAGGCCATTTTTTAAGCTCAATAGTTAGGCCAGTTTTATGCATGCTAAACTAATTAGATGTTTTATGTTAATCTTTGATTGGATAAATATTAATTAGATGAATTTTTGCATATTAATCAGACATTTTGTACATGCTGATTTGATGTTTCATGCATGTCCTTTAGATTTTTAAGACACTCTGTAAATGTTTGTTGCTCAGATTTATACTCGGGTCAACACATGAATTTTTATTGATTTTCTTTCTGGGTCAAGCCATGAATATTAATGACCTTGTTTAATTAGGTCGTTGTGTAAATGTTTTAATTCATAATTGGTGATAATATTGCTATTACTGCTCCCATAGAATATGTAATGAAGGATCAGCAGAGAACAATAAATTGTTTGGAGTACTTCTCCGACAGTTCTAGCATGATTTTGGCGGCCTCACAAGATGGCAGTTGTAAATGCATTGTGGGTAGTAGTAGTAGTAGTAGTAGTAGTAGTAGTAGTAGTAGTAGTAGTAGTAGTAGTAGTAGTAGTAGCAGTAGTAGTAGCAGTAGTAGTAGCAGCAGTAGTAGCAGCAACAGCAGTAATAGTAGTGGTAGTGGTAGTAGTAGTAGTCGCTTTTGTACATTTTGTTTAAAAAAAAATTTAAATGTTTGGAAAAACCCGTCTTTAAAAATTCAACTTTCTTGGAAAAACCCAGGATATCAGAAAGAGGGAAATCGCGGTTATTTATGGACCAAGCATTGAAAGTCCTGCTCGTGAAGTCCAGTTTGATCCGCGCAACAGCAACCAGTTCGCTGTCGTCTTCGAGAATGGATCGTGTCAGGTTTGTTTGATTGCTGGGCTGGCTGGCAGGCTGGCTGATTGGTTGGTTGATTGGCTGGTTGGCTGGCTGATTGGCTGATTGTTTAGTTGATTGATTAAATGATTGATTGGTTGATTGTTTTGTTGAATTGATGAATGAGTAATTGACTGATTGAACAATTAAAACAACCCGCCAATCAAGTTTTTTAAACACACGTCACTAACCTTTCTAAGAACGTCTTCGAAATTAAATAGATATGGGACATTCGAAATTCATCAAATTTCGAGAGACAGTGGGTAGCCCACATCGGGACATCCGTCTGCCTAAATTGGCATCCCGTCGAGAACTGGCTAGTCACTGGTGGCCGAGACAAAACAGCAGCCGTTAGTGCTCCTCTGATTGGTTGATGAAAATAGATAGATGTCTAATTATTGAAACACACATGCCACATTTATCTAATCATTAATTGTTAATTTGTTCTTTCTTTCTTTCACTCGTTCATACGTTTATTCATTCATCCATTCGATCATCTACTCGTACGTACCATCCCATCCATCCATCCATCCATCCATCCATCTATCCATCCATCCATCCATCCATCCATCCATTCATCCATCCATCCATCCATTCATTCACTCATTCAGGTTTGGGATTTTTCAGGAAAATCAAACGCTACATCATCAGCAGCGAGCAGCATGGTGTACAAGTACTCTGCCGAAACCGTGGCCTCCATTGGCAAAGTAAAATGGCGGCCCAATCACAAGTATCAGGTTGGTTTGCGTGATTATTATTGGTCGGCGAACTAAACACTGATAGTTCTAATTGAGTGTAGATGAAATATACGGGTGATTCTGATTGGACGGTGAATACACGGACGATTCCTATTGGTCGGCAAACAGGTATTGACCACGCCCATGCTGACTGAAACATATGCCAGCGTCTGGGACGTCCGGAGACCCTTCATACCGGAAGTGTTTTTCGTGGAACACAAAGATTTCATTGGAGGTTGTCTGTCGTGGGTTTTTTTTTGAATGAATGAATGAATGAATGATGATGACGTCATATTTGATAGGTGTGATATGGAAGGACGAGGACACCTTTTACACGTGCGGTAGAGATCACAAGCTGTGTCGGTGGGTGTAATAGTGATTATGTCATCGTAACGACAATCATCACCATCATCATCACCACTATCATCATCACCACTATCATCATCAGTACCATCATCATCGGTACCATCATCATCAGTGTTATCATCATCATCACCA